AGCCGATAAACTGAGAATGTTTCTTCACAATCTCCTTTATTCTCCTTTTCTCCAAATACTCGGTTTGGTCTTCTTTCAGGTGTAGGATAATCTTTGTTCTACGACCCATCGGTTTACCTGTGTCGGTCCTCACTGTGAAGGAGCCCCCGACTGAGGACTCCCAGGCGTACTGCTCATCATCGTTATGTTTGGTGATCACAGTCACTTTCTCAGCAACCAAATACACAGAGTAAAAACCAACACCAAACTGGCCAATCATAGAGATATCTGCACCAGCCTGCAAAGCCTCCATGAAGGCTTTGGTGCCAGACTTGGCAATAGTACCAAGGTTGTTGATCAAGTCGGCCTTGGTCATTCCAATGCCAGTATCCACGATAGTAAGGGTATGGTCTTGCTTGTTGGGAATGAGATTAATGTGCAGCTCCTTCCCAGAGTCTAGTTTACTAGGGTCTGTCAGACTCTCATATCTGATCTTATCCAGAGCATCTGACGAATTTGAAATGAGCTCCCTCAGAAAGATCTCTTTGTTTGAGTAGAAAGTGTTGATGATCAAGGACATCAACTGGGCGATTTCTGCCTGAAAGGCAAAGGTCTCGACCTCTTCCTCCTCCATTGGTTGGTCTTGGGTCTGGGTTTCCTCAGGCATCTTCGCTGAGTGACCACACGCGAGAGGCGTTCGAGCCGCACCACGACACTGAAGCAACTGGCCGATGTTTATGATTCTTAGCCATCTGAATCTAAGCTCATTATCTGAGTTTAGAGAATTCTTCAGATAGGTTACCATAGGAAGCATGAAATCCTCTTACTAGCAAAGCTGGATGTAGATTTTAACTCTCCTAAACTTCCTTGTAGTAAAGGCATTGACCTATGAGTTTAACTTTCAGTTGGGAAATGGTGACACCCAGAGAGGAGTTCTCAAGATCTGAATAGAATTGGGTGAAATCAGAAACTATAAAATTCTGCAATAGGTTAAAATGCATGTACATGGCATGTTGGATTAGGACAATTCAGAATAAATTCATGAGTAATGAAAAAATCAGACCATTTACCATTTATGTAGGAGCCAAAGCACAGTACATGATATGGGTGTGATAATCAAAAAGACATCCTTTAAGCTGGGTATGATTGTGACTCACACCTATAAACCTAGCCCTCTGGAGGCTAAGACAGGAGGATTGCTGTGAGAAGGCTTCAGTCCAGGCTGGTTACATGTGTGAAAAAGAACAAATAGAGGTATGGATGGGGAAGGGTAAGGAAACAGAGAAAAAGTTAAAATTAGAGAGTTAGAGAGATGGAGACAAAGACACACACACACACACAGAGACAGAGAGAGAGAGAGAGAGAGAGAGAGAGAGAGAGAGAGAGAGAGAGAGAGAGAGAGAGAGAGAGGTGGAAGTTTCTAGGAATAATCTGTCAATGGAAACTGACAGGAGTGTAAACACAGTGGGTGAAGGATTTTGATTTCAGATGTCTCTAATTTTTCTTTCACATGAATTTTCATATAGTTATAAAAATGAGAGGGGATTCTAGAAGGGATCAGTGCGATCAACCAAAGGGAAGAACATTTGAACTTCCTATAAAAGGACTACTTGTCTTAATAGTAATTTCCCTATAATAGACTATTGAACCAAAGTCATTGGGATTTTGTGGATACTTTAGATGGTTATTACTTCTTTTTATTTCTGCTTAACAAAGGACCCTGTACATGTGACATTATGAATTAAAATGAATAAAATCCAGATCCTAGGAGACACACATGACCCTCCATAATAAGCTCAGAAGTATCTTCTGCCTCCAGGTTCCTGCCCTGTTTGAGTTCCTGTCCTGTCTTCCTTCGAAGATGAACTATGATGTGGAAGTGTAAGCCAAATAAACTCTTTGCCCCTCCACAGTTGCTTTGGTCATGTGTTTTGCCATAGTAATATTAACCCTAACTAAGACACTAAGGCATGTACACATGCCCATGCAGGCACACACACACACACTAAATATATAAACGTAATAACAAATAAAGCCAAAACCAAACTGCAATAAGATCCAATTTAATGAGACCCAGTTTAATCTGTCTGGGACCCAGCAATTCTAGTGAGAGGAAAAGATTCAGATACATTCTACCAAGATCCAAAATGAAATAAGTGACATGCACAGATAAAAGCAAAACATTAAAAGATGGTTCAGAGAAGGGAATAATATCGCAAAAGAGGCCAGCTTTTCAAAATCAAAGTAGCCAAAAATTTCAACTTACTACTTAGTTTATCTGTAGATTAAAGGTATATGAATATTTTTAGTTTCATATTTGGGATGTCATGCAACTGAGATTTAATCGTTTTTAAATTCTTAATGAAATAATGAGATACCAGGATAATAAAACTACTATCTCCTTCAGAACAAAACTTGCTCAATTTTGCAAGCATCTCCTCATGAGATGGTTTTCTAAACTCAGAATGCTTCCCATGTGTTACAAGCCTGCGTACCGAGAATCCACACATGACTCCCCTCTCACCAAGAAGAAATAGAGTGGATAAAAATGCAACTCTTATTCTTCAGGCTATGTCATGAGCAATGAAAGCCTTTGCTTCTGATTTGAGTTCCATGTCCTCATGCTTAGGACTACCCAGGGTAACATGATATCTTGTGGATAGAAAAAAAAAAAAACAAATGTTTCAACAAAGACTGAACTAATGCAGGCAAGTATTACTCTTCTTTTGTTTGTTTGTTTCAAATTTTTTATTCATTTTACATACCAACCACAGATCGCCTTCCTTCCCGTCCTCCCACTTCCCCTCCCACCTCCTCCTTACTCCACTCCCCAACCACTCTTCAGAAAGGGTAAGAACTCCCATGGGAAGTCAAGAAAGCCTGGTGCATCAAGTTGAGGAAGGACCAAGTCCCTTGCTCCTGCATCAAGACCGAACAAAGCATCCCACCTAGAGAAAGAGAAAGTATTACTCTTATGAGATAAAAGACCCAGTATAACAGACATAATTTATCCTCAAATTTGTTGTAAATTTGGGACAAATTCCAGTCAAAGTAAGATTTTTCATGAAAATTAAAATATGTATGTAAATGTGAAGTACTTATTATAAGTAAAACAGTATTATAAAAGAACAAATTTGGCAGGGCATGGCAGTGCATGCCTTTAATCCTAGCACTTGGGAGGCAGAGGTAAGCACATCTCTGTGAGTTTGAAACAAACTTGGTCTCAAAGAGAGTTCCAGAACAGCCAATGCTGTTGTTACACAGAGACACCTTGATGTGTGTGTGTGTGTGTGTGTGTGTGTGTGTGTGTGTGTGTGTATCAGGATCTATTTTCTGATCTTAATACATGTTTTTAAAAATAATAACCAAGGTACTGCAGTAGTATCTCACATTAGAACAAAAGTTACACAGAACAAAACAGGAAGTTCAGAAATGGCCTCATGCACATATGAATACATTTTGACAAAGAATACAAAGTAATTCAGCAAGGAAAGAAAAGTGGATCTATTGGATATACAAATATTTAAAATTTAGATAAAAACATACCAATAAATAAACTAAAATGACAAAGCTTCTATAGGAAAACAGGGTAATGTGCTTGAGATCCTGGGATAGACAACAATCTCAGGGGAAAATTCACAGACTCTAATTATAAAAATTGGAAAAAATAAAACTGTAAGAGAAAATAAGATTTATAGTCCTCTGAAGAAAACACTAATGAAAGTATGAACTATATACTGGGAAGAAATATTTACAACATAGATTTCTAACAACAAACCTGTGTTCAGGACCCATTAGATGGCTCAGAAGATAAAAGTCACCTGCTGCTCTAGCCTGACCTTTATGCTCAGAATCCACAGTGAAAGGAGAGAATAGACTCCTGAAAGATATCATCTGACTTCATCTACATTACGGCACACACACACACATACACACACGAGCACACACATACAGAAAAGAATGTAAAAGTGCATGTATTCAAGATATGTAAAGAAGTCCTGCAAAATAAATGAAGAGAAAAAGCAAGCAATGACTTTGTTTTCAAAAGAGTTCAGTAGATAATTCACAAAACTAGATTTACAAACTATCATTACACACATGTAAGGGTGTTGGGCATTTTCAATCATTGGGAAGAGGCAAACTACAATCATTTTGAAATCACTTTACAGTTACTAGAATTAGCAAAATGAAAGATGACAAATGTAGAGAATTCAGAGCAACTAGTCAAAGCTTAAATTCAGCAAAGGCTGATAAATTCTTGGTAGGATCACATTAACCCTGCACCCAAATGGAAGTATGTGTCAACAAAAAGACTTGTGCAAAATGTTTGTTCAAGTTTTATTTATAGTAGCACAATGTTGCAAATGATATAAGCATTCACTAACAAGAAATCAGCTAGAAAAATTGCAGAATTCTCATACAGTGAAATGGTGCCTGTGAGTAGGAAGATATGAATATTATAAACAAAAGATGATTAATCTCAAAAAACAAAAGAAGTTGTTGTACAAAGGAATGTATATGGCAAGCACAGTCTCGTTTACATGAAGCTTGAATAGGCAAAAAACTTCAATAGCAATTTCTTGAAAGAAGTTTTAAAAATGCAAGAGAAGGGGCTAATGGAACTTCTTAAGCTACTAACTGTCTTCCTCCTAAGAAGCCACAGTGAGGTTAATTATTAGGAGAGGTTAATTACTAGGGGGTATACATTTGCCAAAGCTCATTAAGCATACTTGAATCTATCTGATTTACTGTATGTGGATCTCATTTCAAAATGAAAATGAAAAGACTACAGCATAGATTTGTACTTAAACCTCCCCCCAATGATTCTAGGTTTAATGTGCAAATTAGACCAATTGAACGTGAGATAATTTGCTCTTTCTACAGGTGTTGAGAAAGATAACTTCTTAGACTTTATATGTCTACCAAGGTAACTGTGCCAGGAAAATTATTAATCAAGGTCTGATAGTACCGTTTTTATCTGGAGAAGAACAGAAAGAACATTCTGGATTATAAAAAGGTGGGATCCAGCTGCCCAGGAGTCCTACTCAGACACAATGTTGCTGCTACTGGCTCTGGTGTGTGTGGCCCTGGCTCATCCTTTTGAGGAGGACTTTGAAGGGTAAGTCTGTAATTCCTTAAAAGCAAGTTTGCTAACTTTTGTACACATTGCTGAAATTTAAGTTTCTATTCATTATTTTCACCATTTAGCAATCGAGTGTTCCGTGTCACTGTACCTGATGAAGACCATGTCAACTTGATTCAGGAGCTGGCCAACACCAAGGAGGTAAAGTGACAGTTCTCTGCTTTACATTAACTTTAAAGCCTGATTCAGTCTGATTCTACCAAAGAACACTGACATGAAATATTCCTTGCAGGATTTTTTAGATGTAAGAAATAAAACTTGGAACATACTTAATGCCACCATGCTTTCTTTTGTTGCTTAAATTAGATTGTAACAAGCCTTGCAGTATTATAAATCCACATGACCTTTTAGAAGAGCTGACAGTGACAGCTAGATGAGCTGAATCTATCTTAAAGGTCATAGTACATCTAACATGCAGGTCACTTCCCTTCCAAGACAAAGGAGAAAAGCGACCAATTTGGAAATGACTGAAAAAACAGGCATTTGTCCAATTTGTCATTTCCGTAACCCATGTGTCATCCTTCCCTTTGATTTTCTTTCATTCCTAATCACAGAACTTGAGTTTTCCTGACCTTGATTCTGGGTGCCTTAATGATATGACTTGAGGGAGAAAAGGAATGATAAAATGTATAAGTGATTTCCATACTATTTTTTAGCTTAAAAAATAAAACCATGCTACTCAAAAAATATCCACGGAGTTAGAATCTACATTTTGATTATATGTATAGTATGGCAACAATCTACTTCTGAGTACAAACAGTGCCACCTGGGTTAGTGCTGTTTATCCTTAAGTATAAGTGCTAAAACAATCTCCTTGCTCTTAGGTGTTAGTCTGCCCATCCATCCATCCATCCATCCATCCATCCATGCATTCATCCATGTGTCTATCCATCCATCCACTCATCTATTTATTATATATCTGTCATCTATGTATATTCCTGTTTCAGCTTTTAAGGCAGGCATGAAGAAATGTAAAAAGTGCCATAATCATAAAATGTGAGTTTTGAGTTGAAAGAGAACATAAAGTCATCTACTCTGACCTTTCTTTCAAATCTGGAATTTCCTCCTAGGAAGTAGCACCTCTGCTTGCCCATTTGATTGGTGGTTGCTTCTGAGGACAATAAGAACACTTTATAAGCCACCCTGTTGGTTTTCTGTAGTACACCAAGAGGGAAGGCGCTTTCCTTTTCACCTTGACTCCTTAGAAGTAAGTGAGTCAGATATTAGTTAGTTCTAATGTTTGTCTTCTGTACCCTTCTATTGTCTCCCCTTTTATTAGCTTACAGAGTCTGGACCATTCTGATCACCTCCAAAGACAGTTCAGTCTTGCCATTTCTTTTTGAAAATGTATCTTTCAGAATTGGCGGTGGGCCTGATGGATATATATGCTGCAGGTCTATCACTTGCCTTTATTGCCTAACAGACATTTATTACTGTGATCTAACATACTTTTTCACACCTTAGGGGTATTATAACACACTCCATTTCTATTAAACTTAGGTCCAATTATAATCATTTTACTTCTCACACAAATCACCCTCAAACAAGTTGTCTCCTCTTTTCAGTGCTTACTTAATTGGTTTTTCTTTTAATAAAATGTCAGGATTTTAGACTTGCTTTGCTAAACTTTATAGTCATGGCCTGTTTTCAAAATGCTGATCCTTTGAGTGACATCAGATCCTCTAGGACTGGAGTTACAGATGGTTGTGAAACACCATGTGGATACTGGGGATCAGACCCAAGTCCTCTGAATGCTCTTCACCTCTGAGACACCTCTCTAGCACCTCAAGCATGTCTTCTTGATTTATGTTTCTCATAGATGAGGAAAATATTGAATTGGGGGTCCACACAAATAGACCTTCATTACAGCTCATTTAGTCAATATGTAGTTATCGTCAGTCCCAATGTATCATGTAGCACATTTTAAAAATGAAAGTGATTCATCAGCTTTCTCTCCTTAGGATAATGTGGTGATAGCTTGCTTGTACAAATAAAACCTGTCTGAAGGTCAGAGAATGGAGCTTGCTACTAGCTAACCATGGAGGTCTGGAGGTCTGCACAGACTGACAGGAGGTGAGGTAGCTGGGCAGAAGCAGCATATAAGCAGGGAAACAGGAACTCACTGTCTTGTCTGCTGAGATGCTAAGGCTATGGTAAGATGTGGCGGTGGCTTGCTCCTTCTCTCTGATCTCTCAGCATTTCCCTATATATCTGACTCCAGGTTTTTATTTCTTAGACCCATTAAGAATTCCATCTACAAGATAAGTATATCCAATTACCTTATGTAAGTGGGATGGTATCTAGAGACAACACTGTATGGCTTTCTGGTTTATAAAACGGCATATCAGGACAGATATGTCTCAGATACTTCTGAGACCAAGATTCTATTGGGTTAGTAGTTGGATCTTCCAATTATCAGACTAAGTTAACTGGGCCTTCAACCCATGTGGCCTCCCAGGGATCCCTCTTCCTTTTCTGAGCATCCATGGTCCATCTGCTTCCAGTGGGCTCTGTGGCTTTTTTGGATCAATGCCAGGCCCCAGTGGCTATCACTTCTGCTTCATCTATTCCCCAAGGAACTCCTCCACTCCCCAGTGAGCAATGCTATCCGCCATATTGTTTTAGTCATCTAGATTCTCCCATTTCTGGGACTGGTCTCAGATTCATCAGGTTTAGTTTCTAGACATACCAATTTTAGCTAGCTAGTCTCGTGCTCCTCTCTGCACCTCACCTACCTCATTTGCGATGGTAGCAATATTGTCTCCCTAGAGGGCTGTTGCAAGAGTTCAGCTATGAATATAACTTTGCCACTTGGAAATAATTAGGAAGAACTGTGTAACCATTTGATGGCACTGTTATTGGAGCGAGCTTTTGAATACAATTTCTGTGACAGTGTGATCACTTCTCTTCTCATCTACCTTGAACCCTGGTGTTCTCTTTGGAAACTGAAAAATCTTGGAAAAGGTGGAAGCCAATGGAGAAGCAAATAGGCCAGCTCTCCTGCAGCTCTGGTGGCACACACCACTCTCGCTCCACACAGAAAGGTCCATGCTTCCTCCTTATGTTTTTCTTTATTTCCAACATAAATTTTCAAAAAGGTTTAAATCCTCTTTAGTGATCATGTGGGTGCAGTGTATTCTGGGATGTAGCCTTCCTGATAAGATCATCAAAGGGGCATCTAGTCTTTTTATTTATCCTTGGCCAGTATGTCCTTCCTCCCAGCTTTTGAACGTGTCCTTTTAAGAGCTGGGTGTATTGAAGGATCAGAGATGTATTGGGCCAGTATGTCCTCAAGATAAATGAGAGATCTGCTAGGTGTCTGACTCCCAATCACTCACAGTGTGAAACAAATCTGTACATATTTGTGAAAACTCAGATTCCTCGGTATCAGCACTCTCTCTTGTCATCTGTAATTGCAGAGTGGGGGTTTTATTGTACCACTTACACTCACATTATAATTGGTCCTCTCAATCAAGATATTTATAATGACACTAACTCTGTTCTCTGGGTTTTCTGAGATTCTCTTTCTGGAGTTTTAAGGTTTTTTCCCTATGTCTAAAGTAACATTATCATTATCTCTTTTATTGTTGACCTATCATAATGTTCCTTCCTGCTATCTGAATTAGGCCTACAGCAGAAGCTGCTTTACTTTCAATCAAGAGGGGAAATGTCCTCAAGATAAATGAGAGATCTGCTAGGTGTCTGACTCCCAATCACTCACAGTGTGAAACAAATCTGTACATATTTGTGAAAACTCAGATTCCTCGGTATCAGTAATTTTGCTTTTGTCTGACAAACTTACCTCCCAAAGAATCTAACAGGAAAGACAGGGACTCATGTAGGCCAAGCTGGCCTTGAATATACTATGTAGCAAAGGATGGCTTGGATTTCTTATCTTCCTGCTTTCACCTCCCAAGTACTGAGATTGCAGGCATTTGTAGTCATGTACAGCATTATGCACTGCTGGAGACCAGATCCCGGGCTTTCTTTCTGGACAAGCACTGTACCAACTGAGCAACATACCCAGGCTGAATTTTGGATTGATATGTTACTTTGTCTTGTCTTTGTATTAGTGTACAATGGTATTTAATAAGGACTCAAGTTACGCACAATCTCACAAGATTACCCCTTAAAGAGAGTCCTTTATAACTCAACAAATGTTCTGTGTGTATCTCTGTCTCTCAGTGCTCTATAATATAATGTTATAATTTTAGTTTTATAACACTGGCCCATAGAGCTCAGTTTCTCATATTTTGGGTCATACACTTCACCTCACTTCCGTATTTCTCATTCACAAGTTACTTTATTCCTGAAATACCCTCCCTGCTTATGCTATTATTTGAGATTCCCATTTGTAGCCCTTTGGTGATTGGTAGTTGCTGTGGAGATACAGTGCTCCTCCTGCTTTCCTGGTTCCTATGAAGCAATGGGTCTGTCTCCAGGACCACAGGTCTGCATCACCCTTACAGTGTTCCACAGGGGTGGTTGTTAACCATACCAATTTTCTCTATGTCAAAGGAAATGTTTTGGTATTTTGCTTTGTTTTGCAGGGCTGGTATCAGATCCAATTCAGAGCTTTCCCTATAGTAGGCAAGCCGTCTAATGCTGTGCTGTACAAATGAAAATGTTGAACAGCCTCAAATTAGGCCTGCAAGTTTTGTCAAACGTTACAGTAACCCTGTTGAAGAATCCATCATTCTTATAGCAGAGGTTCAAGGAAAGTTACACAGACTCATCTAACGTTTCAATATTTGTCAGAGCTAGGGGAATGAGTAAGAAGTGAGGAAATCAGAAAAGGTAATTTATAGGTTCCTAACAGAAAGAGAGGCTTGCGGAAATCATCCTCAAACACATCATGCAGGCTTTTGTTACTCGGAATAGACAGTTAGCATCTTGATAAATATTCTTCCAGAGCAGACCCTGGTTCAATATTGAAAGAAAAATAGCTCATTTGAAAGTTCAGTGAGCACTATGAAGACATGGGGAAGGGGTGATGCAGAGAAGGGAACATAGTCAATGCAGCACTATTTAACCACTGCCACAAAGGATTATTGAAGCATAAACCACAGGGAATCTCCAGGAAATGGTACAAACCACATATTTTAAAATTATCCCACCCAAGAGATTAATGGGTTGGAGACCTAGAGTTATTTCCTAGGGTCATATGTTCAGTAAGTTCCCAGAGTTATTTATGCAGCACCCCATGTCCACCTGGAGCATATATTTGGCTTTTCCTGGTTCTGAAGAAAAGTGCCTCAAGAGAAACGATATACCTCTTGGAAGTGGGGTCCTGAGCACACTAAATGGTCCCAGTAATTATGACTGAGACAGTCACTGTCAATGTTGGCTACAGACACTTTGAGGACTCCAATGTTAAATCCCTGTGTCTACAACTGAGATGATGTTGGAATGTCAGGAACACAAAATTAAATCTAATTTTCAAAAATGGGCTTTCTCTTCTATCTTCATTGCTTTTGTCTTTATAGTGCTGGCTTTGCCACTACACCCCAGCTTCCTCTGTGTCTGTTGTGGCCTACCTGTCAGCACTATCATTTTAGCTCCAGTCTGTGTCCTCTCTACTTCAACTCTCTGTTACACTCTTTAACCAATCCTTTGCTACCTACATATAAAGTAGTCCGTCAACTGTCTTCTATATCCATACTCACACTCTTCTTCTAGGATCCCTCTTGTTGGAATCATATGTCCTTCTGTTGACCCCGCATCCTTTATAGCCCCCACATTCACTGGACTAGTACAGTGTTCTCAAGTTCAGCAAAGCCAGCTAGAGTTACTAGATTCCATGCAAGTACACCAGAAATTTGGTCACCCTAAAACCTTGCCTCCTCAGTTTCTTGTGCACAGTCTCCAAATCTGCCTGGTTTTCCTTACAAGTTTCCCAGAAATGGTACCAAGTCTCACCAGCAGTCACATTTGTACACTGAGCCTAGCTCACAAATATCTAGACAGGTATTTAGTGAAACACGGTGGCAAAGAAAGACCCAATGTCAGATTTGATCTCAGACTTCCATGCTTCTGCTCAGTGTAAAGAAGAAATAGGAAAACATGTATACAAGAAGCATTAGAACCTAGTTGATATGTTTCCATAAAAATGGATATGTGTAATGATATACCCATAAATAAAAACATTAGAATAGTCAAATATGTCAGCCACACTATTATTTCCTACTTAACGTTCTCTAAAGTTTCTCCCAAGAAGACAAAAGTCATATTTGATTCACCCACTACTATGTCACCAACCTGAAGCCCATTATGTAATAAGCCCAATAACAGCTAATGAATAAGGCAGGAATCTCAGTATACTACAGGACACCCACAAGTATTTTGTTTCTGGCCACATTGGAGAACACATGAGGAGGATGCTCTTGGACTCATATTATTGTGACTTTCACAGAAATAACTCCAAGATTATTAAAATGTGTCTGCTTAAGTAAAGGGAGGCTCAATTTCTCTCTACTACCTTTTTGGTCTTTAGTGGATTCATTATCACTCAGCAGCTTTATCCATTACCATAGAGATGATTATAATAATATAATAAGCAAGTGTTCCATAAAATTGAAAAACATAAAAAGGGCAGCTAGAGAATTCTATAATAAATTAGTGTTGTGAGGAACAATTGTGTTCTTCATGATTCTTTCTATTCAATGTTTTAATTTGGCATATATGTCTCTGCTTTTGTGCATGAGTGTATATTTGTGTATGTGATAATGCAGTGCGTGTGTATAGCTATACACACACACACACATATACATATCTTATCTATCATGCTCTACCTTATTTCCTATGACAGGATTTTTCACTGAACCTGGAGTGTGGAAGGTAGCCATCAAGTAATCTTCCTGTCTTTGCTCCTCTCTGGCCCTCACTAAGCACTGGTACATGCAACCACACTCAGCTTGGTTTGTAACATATGTCCTGGGCATTTGAACTCAGGTCTTTATGCTTATGCAGCAAACACAAAGCCATCTTCCCAACATTGTAGACATTTTTATTGACATATAACTGGTTAGCTCTTAGTAATTCAAAGGAGATATTTAGAAGAGATTTCCTGAATGATTTAAGTTTTAAGGTAATTGTTTGGAGTAGAGAAATCATGGGCACTCAAATCCTAATTTGTTATTGAACTATTGATGTTTATTTCATATACCTTTTTATTCAGATTGATTTCTGGAAACCAGATTCTGCTACACAAGTGAAGCCGCTCACTTCAGTTGACTTTCATGTTAAAGCAGAAGATGTTGACACTGTGGAGAACTTTCTAGAGAAGAATGAATTTCACTATCAGTAAGTTTATGCTTTATAGCTATCAAAATTCTCTCCTATTTTATTAAGCCTGTGAATGACCCAGCTAAAATGAAAAGAAGCCCTTGTCTCTCCCCACACAAAGAGGTAGTGGCAGAGCTGACACAAGTTTAAGATTTCATGGCTTTTTTATTCAAATGTTTTGCGGTCTTGAACCAATCAAATATGTGACCTATTACTACTCTAAAAATGATATAGAGAGACAAGGCCAAGCCATGGACACCATTACCATCTGGATGTAGTTTTATCCTCAACTCCTCTCTATGAGTGTTCAACCACACCTCTTGTGGGCAGTGAGGGTTCCTTCTGTTCCTGTAGTTTAAGTCTAGAGATAACATACCCTTTTAAAAGACCCCACTACTAGTATCAGGAGATGTGATAAAGAGTCAAAAGAAAGAAGCATAAACTCTAAATAACAAGAGAGGAGTTGGATAAACTGTTAGATTGCTCTCCCAAAATATTACATTGTTATGTCTACATCATTTAAATGAGAATGCCCTTTAAAGAAGAGAAAGTTGTCCATTGGCTGACACCTCCAAATAGATATTTAGTGTTTGGTTGATTAGATACAGAAAAGAGTGGCTAGGACTTTACACACATTAGAAGAGGATAAACTTGAAGTGAGGGTGTAAAATAGTTATTAGAAAAAACAGTGCACTGGGGATTGAGCAGAATGAATGAAATTTATGGCTGGGGGGTGTGAAGACCAATGAAATGAGGTTTTGGTTGAGAACTGAATGGTATTTAGAGGTCAACCAGACAACAACATGGAAAAGCCATACTCGAGGTAGAGAACAGATGACATACTATGGCTTAAAGTTAAGAGAGAACACGCTCAGTGTATCTACCAGAAAGAAAGGGAGCGCTTCTTCCAGGGGTGGTGTAAGAAGGAACAAACAGAACTTGATTTCCAGTGTAGAATGTTCAAATACTTATCCAGAAATCCCTGATCACACATGTAAATCTGCATCATGCTTTGAGAAAATAAGATATACACTATTTTAGAATCAAAAATTACTTTGTTGGTCTTTTTGCATCTTAAAATGTAGAAAATAGTATCTTGGTCAAGGAACATGTCAGAAGTCAACTATAAAACTTGTGTCATCATCAGAAGTGGCATAGGAATCAAGGAAGTGCTTTCAGGGAAACCAAACCAGAGCCCATCATTGCCTCTGTAACTTCCTGTCATGAGACTTTAAGATCTGCTTAAGTTTCCCAAGCCTCAGTTTCATAATACAGGGGATGAGGATGTAATGAGGAAAGATGACAGTAATAAACGAACAATATGCTATTAATTTGCACTTATAATCATACTACCATTTCAAGTTCTGCTCTGGCTTACTGTTGTACAAAGAGGGAAAATGCACTTGTCTTTATATTGACTTATTTCTTTAAAGATTATGTATGTCTGTGTGTGTGTATGAATGTGAATTTGTATACATGAGTCCATTGCTTACAGAGGCCAGAAAAGGCTGTCTAATCATCTGGAATTGGAGTTACTGGCTGTTGTATACATCCTGATGTGGGTACTGGGAACCAAACTCAGGTCTTCTAGAAGAAAAGTGCCTGCTACCAACTGCTGAGCATCTCTCCAGTCCAATATGATAGCCTTTTAAAGATATCACAAGACTGCATGGTTTTGTTCTATTATCATTCCTTATCTCACTTAGCTTCTGATTCTTACTGAAGAAAGTATAAACATGCTACCTTAAGCAGGCTATCTTTTAGAAAGCAAAATATAACCTTATAAATTGCAAATTAAGAATCATGTCTAATATTTTGTTCTTATAGTTTAGCAAGCACTTCTAAATTCTCAGCTTGAGGTGCCTTAAAGATGAATTTCTATATAATTCTTGCAGAAAAACAAGGTACAGTGACTGTGAACTAAGCCAGTAGAGACCAAAAGGATGTCTTGATTCTGTTCATTTATTATATCAGTGAAATGATTCCAGCCCCTATCAGTCCTCATAAACAGCATAAGTAGAAGATTCCCTTCTTTTTTCTAGTGGCAGATTTATTGCACTTATGGGTGCATGTTGTCTTGTGCAGTACAGAATATTTCTTGTTAATGTTTGCATCACTGCTGAGAATATTGAAGCATATGATTTTCCAAATAATAAACAAGACCCCAGGAGTCCTAGAAGATCACTCCATCAATAACTATGTGAGTCACAAGCAGTCCTTATGTACTGTTATTACTTCAGAGGTTAATTTGTGTCAGCTGGTTTCTCACTGGCAATGACTTACAATTAAATGTTTTTGCATATACAGAGACCGCCGACTGCACTAAAATATGGTTCGTATATGTTGAGTGTATTGCGCAGTTTTCACTATGACTTGTACCGTTCAGCAATTTCAGTCATGTCTTGAGTCATCATGGTACAAATTTCAAAATGTGTACATGAAAAAAGATAAATTGTAGTTCCAAATGCCAAGATTGTATCCTTAAATTCAGAAAGAGTTAGAATTGGATAGGTCTGACCTTTAGATTCCAGTCTGAAGCTAAGATGACAAAACCCTTCGGTGGGCAGTGCTCTGAATGATCCTTTCCTAAAGAGTTCCAAAAGGTTGTCACTCCCCTAATTCAAATCAGAGTGAGATGGAATGCTGCTAATTGACTGAACCACCATTTTTTTCTACATATTGAAAAACTGTGTAGGGTTAGAGAGATGGCTCAGCAGTTAAGATCACTGGCTGCTCTTGCAGAAGACTGAGCATTTAATTTCCAGTACCAGATAATGACTCAAAACTATCTGTTACTCCAGTTCCAAGGGATACAATGCTTTCTTCTGTCCTTCATGGGCACAACATGCACACGGTACATAGATATACATACAGGCAAGACACTCATACACATAAAATATTTTAAAATCTTAAGAAAAGAATTGTGCAGGCAAGTATCTTTGAATGACAATGGTCACATAGTAGTGATTTAATAGTCCACTTTCCATTATCCACGGAAGGAGAAGGGCGGAGGTAAAATTGAAACATGTCTCCCTTTGCTTTCCAACTACAATGTTCTATACTTTAGTGAGAGTCAAAGTGATCTAATTTCCTTGCACTTTTCAAAAAAAAGGAAATTAGATGGCACTAGAAAGTATATAGTGTATGTGTCTACATTTTTCAGAGCCACAATGATGCTTCTTACTATATTAAGAAGCAATGCTTTAAGCTTTTACAATAGTAGCTACTTGTTTATGATAGTATTTTGAGGTACAGTTAGGTAGTTCTTTGTTCTAAGTCTAATAAAGCCAACAAACTACAAGGCTGCAAGGGATAGTTTGAGGTGAACCCCAGCCTCTAATCAGTAAGCATTGCATTTCAATGTGATCAACAATATCCAATTCCCAACTTAAGGGTGCAGTGCTACAATTTACCTTTCTTTGTGCACAGATTTTTAAAATTTGCCCCATAATTTAAGATCTGACTAAAATTGCTAAAGGATAAAAGTCTTCCAATGTTCTTTCCCATGGTGTAAAAGGATATTTTTATTATTGAGTATCATCTTTAATTTAAACTGTTTCTTTAATACTTCACTGTCTGTATTATTAATAAAAATGTTGACTAACACAGTAAGAAATCTAAAAGAGTATCTCTTTCTGCGGTAGAACACCAGCAGAAGCCTTTCGCAGTTGTTAAGTCTTCTCCAAGTCACTTGAACTTGAGGTCGGCTGTGCTGAAAGGATAGCTACACGTATTGTGAGCTTTGCTGTTGCCTCCACCCAACGCTGCTTGCTGAATATTAGCGAGCGCCATGATTATGGCTTTAAATAAGAAATGTCTACTGAAAGTCTTAAGGCTGTAGAATGCCAAGGATATATTTTCCCTGGATACCCAGTGAGAAGTCACGTAACTTATATATTTTGTAGCACGCCTTATGTATAAAGAACTAGGGACAAGGTTCAACCATATGTTCACCTTGGGTGTGCAAGAACCTGGGCTCAGCCCCAACCACTAAGAAAATAAAAAGTTAAAGTATACATCACCTGCCATTTCTACTGGATCCTTCTTCCATTCCAAGAATTCCATCTGTGTTTGGCAGGATTTGTTCTTGCTATTGGATGATACTGAATTAGAATTGTTTTCTTAAAGTTTTTCCATCAGTAGCTTGGTTTTTGGTTTTAAGATTTTTGTTTTGCATTTTTTTCATTGACTACAAACAATAAAAAATGTATCCTTGAAGGTAATTTTCTCAATTTTTTCTAGCTTAAGGTTTAGTATCTCTGTTTTCTTACTTTATAAAGGTTTTTAAACAAAGAGTTTTTACTTTTGAAGACATCTGTTTAAATGACGAAGGACAATGGGTTTTATTTCATCTCGAAATTGAAGGGTGTTGAGTATCCTCTCTCAAATCATAAAATTCACCAAATGGGGGTACTACATAGAAAGTTCAGAGGGTATCCCTGATAGGTGCCCTTGGGTCCAAGGAATAAAAAGAAGACTTTTGATGTGTGTCTGCAATTCTCTTATGTCAGATAAAACCTTTACAGGAAAGTTTAACTGTAAATAACAGAAGTTTTCAAACTGACTTTGTTCAGGAATGTTAAGAGATTAAGGACATCAATGCTCAGACATTTTTCCCTTTCAAGCACACTTTCTATCCAAAATAATAATGGAAGATAAAGATAAATACACATGCACACATTCATACACATATACATGTGCATCTAATGTAAGAATTTTCAATTGAATTTATAGGAATAAACAGGTCTCAAGGATTCTGTCCCTCTAGTTTTAGTATTGCCTTGCTAAAAAACTGTTATTAGATTATCAGGTCAGCCAAACATCAAAGAAGACACTAGTTCTTTAAACTCAGTGTCCTTTTACCTAATAAATATTTAATGCTATAATATTTTTGAATTTTTAGCAGTAAGTTGTTTTCCTAAAATTCTGTAGATTGGCCTTCAGTGACCCTCACATTACAATAGTGGTAGTGAGTAGGTAGGGATATGGGGCTTTCAGTGCTAAAATCAGGGAAATTCTTGAGGTTTAAAAAATAAAACAAAACAAATATGACTTGGATGTGTATTGTTGTGTAGATGCCCATGACCCTGAGGCAAATGTCTCTATAGCAAAGAAAACCATTTCTGTGTTTAGGATCACTAAAGTATGTGAGGTATGGGCCCTGTAAAATCCCATCATACTCTGCTTCTCAGGGTCCTCAATGTCTCACTTTCTGTGATTGGCAATAAAATCTCCCTTTAGTAGCTCAGCTTGGAGAACCTCAGCGACAGTCAGAAGACAATGTGTGAGTCAATGAGATGCCCTGGAGCATCTACTAAAGCTGTGGCTCTCGCCTATATGTGTGTTTCCTGGGAGAGAATATGTTCATACTCAAAAACACCCACTTTGACTCGTACAGGGTATTGATAAGCAACGTGAGAAATGTTATGGATGCCCAGTTTGATAGCCACACCCGTGCAACTGGACACAGTTACACCAAGTACAACAACTGGGAAAAGGTATGGGGTGCCCCTGAATCTGATACTTTTTCGGGGGCTTGGAGGTTGAACTAACAATTTCACATTAATCCAAGAATGATTCCCTTTGGTAGATAGAGGCTTGGATTAAACAAATTGCCAGTGAGAATCCACAACTCATCTCTCGGAGCACCATTGGTACCACATTTGAAGGGCGTAACATACATCTCCTCAAGGTAACAGTTTTAAAACATAATTTGAGTGGTTTAAGTCGCTGAATTCTGATTCACTGGCATCTACTTCATAGGCATGTTTATCTAAAAGAAAAAATCTCTATAGCTCAGACTCCTTGGATTCTTTGTTCTATGTGCATTTTCACATAATTACTTTTGATTGATTCAGAAGGAAAATCCAGTAAAATGAGAGATGTCATAAATTTTACCACATCCCTGGAAGCAATATAAGTGATGAAATTCTCCTCTCCCAGAAGAGATTTCCAAGTTTATTTGCAGGTTGCAAGCTGCTGTTGGAAGTCATCTGTCAGGCTATTCTCATTTATAGACCACATTATAATGAACATCACAGTTTGTTTCCTTCATCCTCAATGCCACTTTTGTCCTGCAAATCCAGTGGCAAAATGAAAAGATGAGAAGTAAGTGGAGAAAAGAAAATTTTTCATAAAATTAGCAACAATCATAACTACTTATGATTAGTCATCTGAATTTTATAGCCACATCACCTAATAACAGTAGCTGAGAATAAGTGCTACAAGTACATAGTTGAGTGGGGTAATCAAGCTTCTTGTGGTAATGTAGGCTTGATAAGCCTAACAATAGTGCAAGCTTTCAGCTTAAACACAGAGATTGCTCAGAGACAAGAACAGTTTTGAGTGTCGTTAGTTTTCACCTATTGAGTCCAAAGGGAGTGGATGTTAATTCCTGAGTGTCATGTGGTGAATAACATTTCTCCTTTTCTTTTTGTTCATAATAGGTTGGCAAAGCTAAATCAAATAAGCCTGCCATCTTCATTGACTGTGGTTTCCATGCAAGAGAGTGGATTTCCCCTGCATTCTGTCAGTGGTTTGTAAGAGAGGTGTGTCCACAAAAGTATTTTTGACAAAAAAAGTAGAAAGTAATAATTCCAATTAATTCCTTTATAATCTAATGACATGGGAATGTAAATCACACATAAACACACACAAAGGCCACAATTCCCAGTTTCTATTGAGGGAAATTAGTTTTAATATGTGTCAGCAGACTTTTGTAAGATATGCATTTTTAACTTAGAAAAATGGGTTTATTTCAATTTCACTAAATTGTGCTTTCTCTCCTGCTGATAGCTAAAATGGTGATTTGTCATTTTAAAAGACCCCCTGAATCTGGGTGTCAGTGAGGAGGCCTAGGTAATCTATTGAGCCTTGGGCAGCAGATCAGTACCCATCCCAAGTATACACACGGACTTTAGACTCCCATAGAACAATGTGAGGTGCACTCTCACCCTGAACTCTTGGGGAAGGGTCTAGGCCCTGCCCTATATGAAATGACAGACTATGGACACCCCCATGGAGGGCCTCACCCTCCCTGGGGGAACGAGGGGATAACGGGGGGGATGGGGGGAGGGCACGGGAGGAGGGGAGGGAAAGGGAGAGGGACCTGGAACTGACTTGTGAAGCAACCTTGTTTCTTATCTAAATTTAAAAAAAAAAGAATAAAAAAAAAGAGAAAAAAAATTGATCAGTATGGCAAAATCACCTGCCTGACCATTGTCTCCTGATAAGCTAAAATGCTGAAGTTTTCAAATGTCCATGCATTCATGTTGGATACTTCATAAAGAAAGAATAACCATTTTTTACATGAGAGTTCCAATCAGTATATGCGAAATAATGAATAAAATCTCCTTTAGAATATCATAGTAATAATGATTTCAGTAAACCTCAGAAGGGTAGAAAATCAGTCCACAAAACTCTAAGGAGATACATTAGGGAACTCTAGATGAAGAATCTGTGGGACTTCCTGCACTATTTCCATAGCTATCCTCTAACTCTATTTCTTAATCGTGTCTTTGTGTGGTTTGGGAACCAAGGTAATTGTAGCCTAGTAAAAAGAGTTATGGCAATGACCCTTCTGTTTCTATTGTGTAGAACAATTTGAGGAGGATGGGTATTATCGCTTCTTTGAATTTCTGGTAGAATTCTGCACTGAAACAATCTGGCCCTGGCCTTTTTTTGGTTGGGAGACTTTTGATGACTGCTTCTATTTCATTAGTGGTTATAGGTCTTTTTAAATTGCTTATCTGTTCTTGATTTTAAAATATAAAATCTTATGTTGATATGCTTTTAAAATAGAATAATTTATCAAATGAAACCTATTTTCTTTTGTTCAAAGGACTTCTGAATTAATTTTCACTGCCTTATCCAAGAAAGCCCAGGGAAAGGTTAAGTTTAAATGTAGGTTAGCCAGGGAGACAGAGAGCCCTGCATCCAGGTCATGTAAATTTTGATAACATCATCCCTTCCATCCCATGAAATCCCACATTGTTATTCACATACAGGCTGTCCGCACCTATGGACAAGACACCCAAATAACAAAGCTTCTTGATGAATTGGACGTTTATGTTCTGCCTGTGGTAAACATTGACGGCTATGTTTACACCTGGACTAAGGTACAAGAACTCAGAAGGACTTATGAAATTCACACCAGTTACTTCCTGTGGTTTTTGATCTAACTATATAATCTACTTTCAGAGTCGAATGTGGAGAAAGACCCGATCTACTAGGGCCGGAAGTTCCTGCGTGGGTGTAGACCCTAACAGAAATTTTAATGCTGGTTGGTGTGGTAAGTATCTGTCTGTCTAACCACTTTGCAGGCAGCACTAAAAAGCACTAGAAGTAAAGTAGCATAAGAAAACAATAAGTCAATATTCAAAACAAGAAAAACTGCAAAGTTTTTTGTTTTTCTCAAAGCACAGAAAATAGTTTATTGATTCATTTGATTAAGATATATGGAGCAAAGTTCTGTGTTGTATTGCCAGCTATGTTAACACAATCCAATAATGTGAGAAATGTATTTATAGAATCAAACTAACAGTCATTTAGACACAGGTATTTAAAAATATCATTTAAAGAAAATTGTGATGCAATTAAATGATCAAAGTAACAGGATTGTTTGCATTAATATTATTAAGTATTCCACCCTATTATTTTGTCTATACTGTCTATACTGTATACATATATACAGTACAGACTAAAGTATAGTCATAACACAGGGATACTACTTGTCTTCATAAATACTGATGTTAAATAGGTCTATAATAGAAAGATATTAGTGATTTCATGTGTAATTTCTTATTGTACCAGCTTAAAAACATACCATCCTAATGTATGCATAGATAGATAAATAGATGACAGACAGATACTTAGTTGGCAGGCAGATAAGAAACCAAAAGGAATTATTAAAGAATCCTGAGAAAATGCTTTATGTTATTTACCTTCCTAATTTGGAAATCTGAAACACCTAACAACTACTATGAGACTTCAGTAGGTGATCACTGGCCACTAATAGAAATATACACTTTTGCAGAAGTGGGAGCTTCTCGAAGTCCCTGTTCTGACACTTACTGTGGACCAGCCGCAGAATCTGAAAAGGAGACCAAGGCCCTGGCAGATTTCATCCGCAAGAACCTCTCCTCTATCAAGGCTTACCTGACGATTCACTCATACTCGCAGCTGCTGCTCTACCCTTACTCCTATGCAAATAAGCTGCCTGCGAACCACCAGGAATTGGTGAGTGTGTGCAATGGGAGAGAGACTATTTCAGAATCCAAACTTTTTATTTTAAATCTGAAAGAAGTTGTCAGAACAATTTCTGGAAGTTCCCTGATGTTTAAGGAATAACGTGTGTGTGTGTGTGTGTGTGTGTGTGTGTGTGTTATGTGTATGTATGTATGTATGTATGTATGTATATTATATGTTAAGGAATAGAATGTTCTGAATAAATTGAATGAAAGAAATGGAATTTTGATACAGGGAACAATCTCCTATGAACGTGATTTATTTACTAATATTCAAAATAACAGTAGTTCCATTTATCTTTACCTCAATAGTGATTTATTCATTACTGTTCTATGGCTGTGATAAACTACTCTGACAAAGGGCAAGCTAGGAGAAAAGAGACTTATTTTGTCTGATGGTTCCAGAGGAGATAAAGTCCATCGTGGTAGGCATGGAAGGCAGGACAGGAGAATGAGGCTGCTCTCACTGTCAGGGAGTAGAGAGGTCCATTCCATCCACACATGGAAAACAGAGACAAAGAGCAGAAGTGGAGCCAGGCTCCACAGCCACAAGACCACCAGTGAGATGTTCCATCTAGTAAGACTCTCCCTCCCAAAGATCAAACAGTGCCATCAGCTGGAGACTGAGTGTTCAAGCACATGACCGGATGGAGGGCATGTCGTTTTCAAACCACAGCACTGAATAAAGGATTATTTCAGTTGTATTGGACATATTCGACAAAGTCCTTGATGGCACACCCTATTTTTGTCAGTGTTAAGTGGCTCCATCTAGATTTTGCACAAGCAGAATGTGGCAGATGGTGTTTAGAAGTTGTAACATTTAGTAGATAACAGCTTCATCTGTGAGGTCTTAAAATTGTTCCATTGCTTGACCAGATAAAACAGTAATAAATCATTCGGTAATCAAATAACGTGACTGAGGAATTCTAAATATAGGGAACAATTTTTAAAAGTTAAATATCTTGGGCTCAAAATATCAATGATCAAGATATAATCATGTGAGTAATTAACTATGATGAGTTCATACAAGTATCACACATCAATGTGTATATATATATTTTAAAAGCACGTTTAAATCCTTCAAGCAATGTGTGTGTGTGTGTGTGTGTGTGCATTAATTTTTTAAGCTGGCTATCAGAAGTTGAGAACAATGACGTAAGAGAGTATGATAAGATTTAGAGTGCTTGAATTAGGGACACACACACACATTTTTTTAAAGTGGCCACGAAGTGGTCATGATTTCCTCTGGCTTCATAAACAATTCAATCCCTCAGCGTAACTTCCTAATATAATGTTATTTTATCTTCAAATGGAATTTTAAGGCTCAAAAATGATTCTTGAAATTTTAAAATTCTAAAGGACAAGGAAGTATTTATGGTCAGAGGAAATAAAAACGGTGAGACATAGTAGAAGATCCCTCCAGTCCTAGCCATATGGCTGCATTTGCCAGTTGTGAAAAATATCCCAATCTTTGGTTGACACACACAGGCTAGTTAACAACAATAAATAATAACACACCAATTCAATTTGAAAAGCAGGAAGCTAGAAGAATACCGGCTAAGTACATTGTCACACCCCATACACTGAGCCAGAATAGCACATAGTGAATCCAGTACTGCCAATCCAGGACACAAGGACCTTACTGCATTAGAAACTATAAAATAATCTTAGGAATTCTCTGGTCTGCTCCTCATTTTCCAGTCTAGACATGAACACTTAAATAAGGTGTCACTATTAGTAGAGGTAACCCTGATCCTAGAGATAGTGGCCATTGGAAAATTCCTTAGCTTGCCACAATTTCCAAAAACTCATTTTTCCCTTTTATTGAAAATAGATTCTTTTCTTGCATAGTGTATCCTTATTATGTTTTACCTCCCTCTACTTCACCCAGTTCCTCCCCACTTCTCATCACCCAGATCTGCTCCCTTTCTGCCTCGAATTTAAAAAAACTTCTAAGGAATAATTAAAATATAACAAAATAAAAAATAATTTTTAAAACTGTCTTATAGGAATTAGACAAGATAAACCAACAGAAGGAAAAGAGCCCAAGATATGACGCAAACATCAGATTTATTTGTTTACACATACAGGGGTTCCATAAAAACACTAAACTGGAAGGTGTGATATATACAGAGGGCCTGGCACAGTCCTGTGCTGGCACTGCTCATGCTGCTTCAGTCTGAGTTCATATGAGCGTTGATCATTTTCATTTAGAGGGGCTTGTCTCTTGGTGTTCTCCATCCATTCTGGCTCTTACACTCTTTCTGCCTCCTCTTTCTCGGGGTTCCCTGAGTTCTGGGGAAGAAGTGAGGGTGGATTGCAGAAGAGCTGTGTAGAGCTGAAAATTTCAAGATGTCTCACTCTCTGAATAATGTCTATCTGTGGGTCTCTGTGTTTGTTCCAGCTGCTGCCAAAGGAAGCTTCTCTGGTGATGGCTGAGCAAGCCACTGATCCATGAGTATAACAGAATATCATTAGGGATCATTTTATTGCTACTTTTTTATAGCAGTAGTATTTGGTCTTACCCTAGTTCTTGATCACCAAAGCAGTATTGGGTATGAGTGTTATGTTGTGGAGTGGGCTTAAGTGAAATTAGATATTAGTTAGTTACTCACACAAGCTTTGTGCCAACATTGCCTTAGCATATTTTTTATGCAGGACATCATTTTAGATCAAAGGGTTTGGGGCAGGCTTGGTGTTTGCATTTCTCTTTGGGTAGTGTGCAGAGCATCTTCCTGTACAAAAAATATGAAAACCTAGGGATGAAGGCTCTTCGTAGGCACCAGCTCAACTTCTGGATGTTCAATGAGTTGTGTAGGTATTGTCTTCAGAAATGGGAACCTGCTGTCAGTTTGTAGAGAGCAACTTATTGTCTTGGCAATAGCCTGGGTGGTTTAGAAATTCCCATGCATCTTTGTTAGAGCATTTGAAACCCCAAAGCCCATCCCCAGTAAGACATTTCCCCCAACAAGACCATACCTATTCCAAGAAGCCATACCTTCTAATTGTCAATTAGCACCACTCCCTATGAGAATATTGGGGTTATTTTCATCCAAACCATGGGACCCAACAGCTCAATTATATATAACCCAATTCCAGTACTAGAAGCTTTGTTTGGTGAAAAGAGTTGGCCAGTTGGTATGCTATATCCCCCTTTATTTGGTTTTTCAGTTAGATCATATGTGGCTACTGTATTAGGTTTTCATATTACCTCTCAAATGGCCCTTAATTTTAGCTATCTCTTCCCATATCCCTTGGATCATTTCTCTCTCCATTTCTCTTCTCCATTTGATCTTCCCATTCCAGCTCCTCCACCATCCATCCCTAACTATCTATTCTATTCCCTTTCCTTAGGTAATCTCTCTGTCCCTCTCTAGGACCTTACTTTACACTTAACCTCTGTGGTCCTTGGTTTTCACTAAATTAACAGCTAATATCCACAAATAATCAAATTCATACCACATGTGTCTTTGTGGGTCTCAGAATGATTTTTTTCTAGTTCCATACATTTGCCTTTGAATTTCATGATGTCGATTCTTTTAATGACTGAGTAATAATCCATTGTGTAATATACCACATTTTCTTTATCCCTTCTGTTGAGGGACTTCTAGATTGTTTCCAATTTCTGGCTATTATGAAGAGAGCAACAATAAACATGGTTGAGCAATGTCTTTTTGGTAGAATGAAGCATCATTTGAGTGTATGTCCAGGAGTAGTATAAATGGATCTTGAAGAAGATTGATCCTCATCTTACTGAGGAATTTCCATATTGATTTCCAAAGTGGCTGTACAAGTTTGCATTCCCACCAACAATTGATGAGTATTCTCCTTTTTCTACATTTTTTATCTTAGTCATTTTGACAGGTATAAGATGAAATCTCAAAGTAGTTTCCTGATAGCTAAGAATGTTGAACAATTCTTTAAATGCTTCTCAGTCATTTGAATTTCTGGTATTGAGAATTCTGTTTAGATCTGTATCCCATTTTTTAATTGGTGTGTTTTCATGATATTTAGTTTTTTTGGGTTCTTTATATAATTTATATATTAGCCCTCTATCAGTTGATAAAATCTTTTCCCATTCTACAGGCTGCCATTCTGTCCTGTTAACAATGTCCTTTGACATGCAGAAACTGTTGAGTTTCATGAGGTCCTATTTATTAATTGCCCATCTTAGTTCCTGTGCTATCTGTTCTGTTCAGGGCGTCTTTTCCTGTGCCAATGAGTTTAAGGCTATTCTCCCTTCTTTCTTCTATCAGATTCAATGTATCTGATTTTATGTTGAGGTCTTTGATGAAGGAGTTGAGCACTGTGCAGGACTATGAGTATGGATCTACTTGTATTTTTCTACATGCACCCACCCTATTTGACCAGCACCATTTGTTGGAGATGTTATCTTTTTTCTCATGTGTAATTCTGGGTTCTTTACAAAAAATCAGGTATTCATAGGTGTGTGAATTTATATCTGGGTCTTCAATTCAATTCCACTGACCAGTTTAAGACCCATATATTTCTATGCATTCTACTTGGTACACCATAAACATTTTTTGAGGAAATCCATGAGAAAGGTTTTGGATTCCACTTGTAACTACCTCTGTTCATGGATATCACAAAGAATTTACTAAGACTGTCTGAGAGCACTGACTTCTCAGGGTACAATCTTAGATCCTGGACTACTCTTTTCATAAGTATTTATTCATTATCCAAAAGAAGAAGGATGACAATAACCAGAAAAAAATAACTGTCTTCTGAAAAACTATTAAATGTGACCACAGATTAAAAACACCTTCCAATTCAGTGGCATGCCACTCACTGCCTCTTCATTACATTTTCAATTAATGTGCTACAAAAATAAAATCCTCTGAAACTGATCCTGGTGGCACACACCTTTAATCCCAGCACTCAGGAAGCAGAAGTCAGCAGATATCTATGAGTTCAAGACTATCCTCTTCTAAATAGCAAGTTTCAGGACAACCAGGACTATATAATGAGACTTTTGTCTCAAAAAGAAAAAAAACATTCTGTCACTTTATTCAAGCATGTGAATACAACATAAGGTTACATTTATAGATGAATGTAAAGGTTCAAAGGGAACGAATATTAATTACAAATTAGACAACTATAGTGTTATGCATATGCACATCATGGCTGACACAACGTCCCTGCCTAACAACTAGACTTAGCAAGGCCATAATCCCACAGTCCAGAGGCTACTAACAACTAAAATGAGTAGAGTTATTTTCTCAGAATCTCTCATTTCAAAACAAACAAAAAAAACTACCCAAAAAGTTTTAAATGAAACCATAAAGTATCTTTTAACAAAGAAGCTTGTTGAAGATATAGTATTACAAATTTCAGGGACCTCTTGGCTTGATAAAATTTTCCTCCTGGGCTGATAGTATATGAATTAACAAAAGTTGCACTGAATTCACACTAAGTTTCCTTCAATTAAGTCCCCTGCCATTTGAGAACTTAGAGTCTTAATGAAATTCAGAGGCAGAAATCCATGAAATACATAGCTGGGAATTTAGTTATGCACACTTGTAGGGACTCATGAGAAGGAAATGGCAACAAGTGTTATACGTTCGGTAGGAAAGGAGAGGTAGGAGTGGCGCATGCCTTTAATACCAGCACTAAGGCAGTAGAGGCAGGCTGATTTCTGTGAATTTACAGCCAGCCTGATCTACCCAGTGAGTGCTAGGACAGGCAGGGTTAAGTAGAAAACAAAGAATGAGGAAGAGGAAAAACAGGAGAACAAAAGGGATATGATATATTTTCTAAGAATTAAAGAATAGACATGATTCAGATGGACAGGGAAGGAGTGGAGCATTGAAAGCATAGAGTAAAACCAACAAAAGACAGACTAAACAGCAGGCTTAAGGAGTGCTCTTGACAGAAAAGGGTGGGTGGTAAACTTGGGCATCTTGTGGGAAACCCTGGATGTCAGAATTGAAGCCTATGTCACAGTAAGCCCTGGAGCTAGAGATGTGGTAAATACTAGCCAGGTCTGTTACATGCCTCCCTGTTTAATTTGGATTTCCATAAAACAACTAATTTTTACTATAAATGTGTCTCAAATCCTTCATGAGGTAGACTCATCCTAGAGCAATGTCCTTAGTTTATTTGAAATTTATATTTACCTGGGAGTCTATATTTTTGCTACATCTATCAATCCTGCTGGTAAAATGATATTTTGGGTGTGAAAGTGCTGAAGGCATTCTGTTATATCATCAGTAGACACACCTTCAAATCCTGTCTTTTTTTTTAAACTTTTCTCCTAAACTTATCAGACATAAGTGTATCTTTTACTCACTTTGAACTAGTTTTGCTACCCACTCCTATCAAGATAATGTCTGTGAGACATTTTGATTGATATACTACAGGAGTTTACTGACATCTTATGGTAGAGGACAGAGAATGCTGATAAACATACTGCAGTGTACCAGAAAACCTACCTACAACACGCATACACATATACACATACACACACAGTGATCCAGCTGCATACCAGGAGGGCAGAGGTTGAAGAAGTGCTCTACACAAAAGTAAGAACAGACTCACATTTCTGGTCAAAGGCTCTTGACTTCCATGGGATCTTATATCTTCCTCAAAAACAACACATGGTGTTCTGTAAATCTCAGCTGCCAAAGGTTGCTCCTTTCCTATGTTATACAGTATTTATTTTTAAAATGTATTTGGGAGAAACACCTTTTTTATGAAAACAAAAACCTTCTGGAGTACAAATTCAACTGACTCACACTTTGCTTTTTCCTTGAACATCAAAGTGTGGGTCAAGCCAAGGGAAAGTTGCTCCATGACAGTGGCAGCATCCTCTGCCCCACATTGCTCCTGGGCTCTCGGGAAGCAGCAGCCCAGCTGTCCTATACCAGCTGTTTCTGTGACTCCTTTCCTTTTTTCACACTGTCAGGTAATCCCTCTGTTCCTCAGAATCAGGGATTTCCCAGTTCCAAATGCCTTCTCCTTGGGCCTGTTTGAAGCTTGAGATCTCATTATGCACCAAAATTGCAAAAGTAACGTTTCCTGTTGGTCCCATGGTATAAGTTAAGATTATCACAGGACATGAGGGAGGAAACCAGCGTTAGAGATAACTTGAGGCTCCCATTATCTCATGTGTCTGCCAACAAGGACAGTTAAACTTTGGTCAATTTCTTAGAATTATTTCATACCTCAGGCTTGGTTGGAGGCTCTTGTTTTTTACACTGTAATGATGGACTCTGGATAGTTAGCCCAGCTCCGGTAGTGTGCAGGGAATTGGAGTGAGGGTCATAGGCAGAGGATTTTTGAGTCTGAGTTGCCTTGAACAGAGGTTGTTGGAGAAGAGCTCTGTCTGCTTAGTCATCCCACCAGGCCCCAACAGCCTGGGGCCCAGTGAACAGTGTGCTACTTTTTCTTTTGTCTTGCAGGTTTTGAGCTACATGTGGCATTTCAGACTTGGTCTTTTGCTCTAGGCTCTCTTAACATTAAGAGAACAAAGATGAATCTGTGTAAGATATGGGAAGAAATTCATAGCTAATGATTGATACAGGCCTTGTTTGGCAGCGAAACAGCAAAGCTTTTTCTAGGGTGTGTATATCAAACTTCCTCTTGTTCTTGCAATCAGTAAAACAACACTCCTTTTGGAGTAAGTTGAAAGAATGGCATAGCTCAAGCTGGTCACAACTGGCTACATACCCTTGGGCATGTTCTTTTAGTCTCTCTGCATTTTGCTTCTGGCTCTTAAGAAGAACTCTTTATGAAGTATAAAGTTTATATACACATTAGTAATTGTTTTAATCCCTGTTCCTCAAAGGGCAAGTTTCAGTGAAAGTGTCATTAACAAGTTTTGAGTTGTGGACTCTATAATCTTCTGTGTTGTTTCTTGGTTCTTCTGGCTTCCTGATCCCACATGCATACATGCATACTTACATACATTTCCATATGTATGGCTTGTAGTTACCTGACACTATGACAAATGCTAGAACTATAGTTCTCAACAGGGACTAGGTATTCAGCTTATTTGGAACATTCCCACTGAATGTGCTACTCCACATGGCATTCCATTCTGCTGGAAAATTCTGTGGGGGTAAAATGTACACAGATGATATTGGAAAGATAAATGAATAATATTGGTGAAATTATTTGAACTTTCCAAAAGAAAAAAACCTATACTGATTGCATGGGGATTTTGTTAAGATAATTGGAATTTAAAACAATATTTTAGCTGATTAATGTTTATTCTGATTTTTTTTTCTGTCTGTTGGCTTAAAATGGAATCAGAGAAAGGGTGCAGATTTCTTCCTTTGTAATCAACTTCAGCATCTAAATATAACAGTCTGTCAACCATAAATACACGACATCACTGCCACTCCCATTCCATCCTCAGTCTCCGCTCAGGAGGTCACAGTCCAAGTTGAAAAACTCTATGCTATCAAACCCAACCAGACCTGACCCATTTATAATGACTCTGAGCACAGGACTCACTCAATCAGTGTGTACTGAGTGGCCTGCTGGAGATAGAGATGAATACCTTAACCAAGGCATGAGAGTCTTAAGTTCAAAACTCTCTATGGAAAGAGAACAAAGAACAAATATCTTCTTAAAAAGAGTAGCCACAAATCCTCCAGAGAACTAACACGAATAATAGATGCCAGGATAACTGGTTTCAACGGGCTCAAGGAGCTCTGATAGATGGGAGCTGCTGCAAAATAGAGAACGTTGCTCTTAAAGAAAGTGAGGGTTAAATTCACAAAGCAGATAACGTGAAAGTAAACCTGACAGATGACAGAAACTCTCTGTTTAAACAGAGAGGAGGAAGAGCATCCCAGTGAAGGAAGAAGAATACCTAAAGTCAACCGGAAAGAGAGGGGTGCACAGGGGCATTTAGGATCTCTGGGGTGTGTTCAGTGAGTCTTTTGCCAAAAGAGGAAGTTGGGGCCATTGAAGACACATGACGAGGTAACCCTAAAAATGATTGTGGGGAGATAAAGGTCCATATGAGACAACAGCTGCGGACAGGGACAGCAGAGGCTGAGGCACAAACTAATGTTCCTTTAATAGTGGCAACAATAAAAGAACAGCCCTTTGAAGCTAATGTCAGTCTCACACACAGAAACTGATTCTAGAAGGCAGCTACATTTTCTGTGCTCTGTACATTTGTGTGCTCGCCTGTTAGTACTCTAGCCCTAATTCACACCATCCTGTAATAACTCAGTGTTGGCTTTCTACCTACCACACTGTCAAGTCCTGGCTGCTTTGTTTGCCTTCTCAGATATGCTTTGCTCCTGTGCAATGACATCAACAACCTTTGCCATAGCATAAAGACTTCCTGGGTTTGCTTTGCATTGGGGAAGACATCCTTTCACAAGATTTGTTTGTGACTTTAGTATTACTAAGATGAAAAAATTGAAACAGACGTTGAAAAAATATAAAATATTAACCTAAATGTGGCATAAATATCATTTACTTTAAAACAAGTGTACAGGGTGTGTGTTTGTTTGACATGGTTGCTTTCACTTATTCAATTCCTGATGCTTCTTCTTCAGAATGCTGTGGTGAAAGCTGCAGCCAAGCAACTTGCCTCTCTGTATGGTACCAAGTACACGTATGGCCCAGGAGCGACAACCATCTGTGAGTTTTGGGTTCAGAACTTTGCAAAGAAACCACATGTCTGGAAAGGAACAAATGCTTCCCACTGCCTTTCTTTTCTCAGAATTTAAAGCTTGTAACTTTGCTTCACAGTGATTTTTAAATGAATATTTTTTTTACTCAATAGATATATAGAGAGATAAATATCCTTGCCAAACCACAGAGGCATCTGCTTTCTGTATGCACCTCTTGGGTATCTACTGTATGCCAAGCCCTCCATAGGTGCTAAATAAAAAGAAAGGAAGGAGACAGAGTAGGGAAGCAGGAAAGAAAAGAGGGAGCAGGTAGACCAAGGCAAAAAATACTTTCTGAGATCATTCTCACAAAATAATTTTATGGCAAAATTGGATTGATTTTCTTTTGAAATATTTTTCTGTTGACTAGCTGGTTAGCCTACCCGTGGTATTTTTCACAGTGAAGAATTTGGCCGGGCGTTGGTGGCGCACGCCTTTAATCCCAGCACTCGGGAGGCAGAGACAGGCGGATCTCTGTGAGTTCAAGGCCAGCCTGGTCTACAGAGTGAGTTCTAGGACAGCCTCCAAAGCCAGAGAAACCTTGTCTCGAAAAAACCAAAAAAAAAAAAAAAAAAGAATTTGTAGTTTAGAGAGAAAAGCTGCTGATTTCTTTTCCCCTGCTGTTTTCTCATTTCAGATCTTGCTGCTGGGGGTTCTGATGACTGGGCTTATGATCAAGGGATCAAATATTCCTTCACTTTTGAACTCCGGGATACAGGCACGTATGGCTTTCTCCTTCCTGAGTCCCAGATCGGCCAAACCTGTGAGGAGACAATGCTTGCAGTCAAGTACATAGCCAATTATGTCCGAGAACATCTGTATTAGTGAAGATCACAGCACACCTTATTTCGAAATGTTCACTGTGCATTTCTGGTCTGTCTTGACTGTTTTGTTTGTATGAAGGCTTTGCAGATCCTACTCTTTTAATTTTCTGGGTGTATTAACCTACTTGGACCTCTAAAACTCATCCTAATAAAAATCATATCATTACTAGAAAACATACCAGATTGCCTGCTTTGGGAGGGAGCGCGAGAGAACAATGAGCAAACCTGCTGTGTGCTGGTGCTGGTGTGATTAGCTATAGAGAAGCCTGTCCTTGGGGAGCTGGCCTACATTGGCAGGGAACCATGGTTACAATGGGGAACTTATAAATAAGAAGAAATACAGAGGGAAGTAGAAGATTGTAAAACAGTACACTTGGAAAGGTGGCATCTTGGCTTAAGCTTTATCTGAGCTCACTCAAGCAACAAAATGAAATATCTATAGCATGCCAAGAGTTCTACTCAGCAGTTGAAGAAAGAATAATGAAAGAGAATGATCACACATTTTCCTATTCTCTATCTATGAGCCATTAGATAAGACAGATATTTAACAAGTAATCAACTAAAATAATTAGTTATTTTAATTGGTAAAATAACAAAAGTTAATAAAAATAGTTACTTGAGTTATACTAGGTTGCTCAAAGGAACATGTTAAATGTGTACTTCCTACTGTGGGGAGAGGCTTTTAAGATGTGCTATGATATGGGTGAATGAATCACAATAAGCTGTACAAAGTGACAACTTCCTGTGATCATTCTAAAGGTAATGGAAGAAAGTGAGTGAATAAGGAATTACAAGAGTTGGTGGAGGGAGCACAGGTAAGCTTGGGGAGGTAGAGGAGGACCACATCACACAGAGCCAAGACCCATGTTCAAACTTGAGGCACTTGTCTTAGAACCATGGGAAACCATGGAAGAGGTGAGATTTAAAGGATATTACCACCGTCTTCTTAGAACAGATGATTGTGGCCAGCAGATTGAAAACAAAACAAGAGATGCTGTCTCACCAGCTTGGCCAATAAAAGAGACAAAAGCCATTCCATGACTTATACATCACACATTAATTGATATATTCTGGAATTAGCAAAAAGTAGGCTAATCACACCAAGTTCAACTTTTTTCTCTTTTTTTCCAATTTTTTATTTTAATTAGAAACAAGCCTCTTTTACATGTCAATCCCAGTTCCCTCTCTCCCCTCCTCCCCTACCCTCCATCACCTCACTATCCCATCCCCTTTCTGCTCCCCATGGAGGGTGAGGACTTCCATGGGGGATCTTCAAAGTCTGTCATATCATTTGGAGCAGGGGCTAGGCCCACCCCATGTTTCTAAGCTGAGAGAGTATTCCTCTATGTGAAATGGGCTCCCAAAGTCCACTTGTGTACTAGGGATAAACACTGATCCACTACCAGAGGCCCATAGATTAACCAGTAAAATGACAGGATACAAGATCAACTAAAAAAAAAATCAGTGTCCCTACTATATACAGGCGATATAAGAGATGAAAAAGAAATCAGAGAAACATCACCCTTTACAATTGCCACAAACAACATATAATACCTTGGGGTAACACTAACCAAACAAGTGAAAGACCTGTATCACAAGAACTTGGAGTCTTTAAAGAAAGAAATTAAAGAAGATACCAGAGAATGGAAAGATCTCACATGCTCTTGAATAGACAGGGTCAACATGGTAAAAATGGCAATCTTGCCAAAAACCATCTACAGATTCAATGCAATCCCTGTCAAAATGCAATCACAATTCTTCACAGACTCTGAAAGAACAACTGTCAACTTTATATGGAAAAACAAAAGGCCAAAGGTAGGCAAAACAACCCTGTACAATAAAGTAACTTCCAGAAGCATCATCATCCCTGGCTTCAAGCTCTATTATAGAGCTATAGTTCTGAAACACAGCTTGCTATTGGCACAAAAGTAGACAGGTAGAGCAATGGAATCGAATTGGAAATCCTGATATTAACCCACACACCTATGAACACCAAAGATGTCAAAATTATACAATGAAAAAAAAAACATCTTCAACAAATGATGCTGGCATACGTGGATGCTGGCATGTAGAAGACTGCAGATAGATGCATATTTATCACAATGCACAAAACTTAAGTTCAAATGGATCAAAAACCTCAACATAAATCCATCCACACTGAACATCTTGGAAGAGAAGGTAGGTGCTACGCTCGAGCGAATTGTAGAAGTTTAATTTTTAAAGTAGAGTAATATACACCTAATTAATAATTTGGAGTGACAATGAAAATATTATTTTATGTTCAGTGTAATATAAACATAATATGTTAAAATTTAGCAATGTTCTAATACAAAAATTGCTTAAAGTCACAGTCATTGGGGTTGGGGAGAAGCTGTCAAGTCAAAGACTGGCTAATGCCCTGAATTCCCACAAGATGGCAGCAGTATAACTGCTCAAACTCATCAATCGCCCAAGCAGTTAGGAGGACTCCATCATTAAAATTGAGAGAGATCCTTAAGTGCAAAAAGTAAATTCCATGAATATATATTTATTTGCATATATTTGTTCCCTGAGTGTGTACATGCAGATCTCCTCCATATTTTTCAGTTACAGCTTGCTATAACTGGTCTTCTACCAGAGACTCAACTCAGCTTATCAGACTTAGTGCCAGAGTTTTAAGACCAATTTTTTAAATACTCTAAAACACCTTATGCTGCCAGAATTAGGGAATTTTTTTACTTTGTTATAATTTGCAAAATTATTTTCAGTGATCAATTAGAGGTTTTTAAATCTGAAGATAAAGTGCCTAGAAACAAAAGCTGTGTTCTTGAAATAGGAGACATTAACATAAACGTGGAGTTCATCCCTAAAGCTTATAGCTATCTCTACTTGAATCTACCACATGGTAAATGCTGATGGCAACCAGCTCTGTCCTGCCAGTGGCCATCTGGAAGTCTGTTCGTGGCACCTGAAGGTGAGCTGACACTTCATAGTCCTTTACCGGATGCCAATTCCCTTACATACACTCTCACACTTAACCATTCATCTGCATCTTCTTAGCATCCTTCCTTAAGGACAAGGAACCAAGGCAAGACAATGCTCGCTTTGGTACAGCAGAGGTTTAGGAGCCATTCTGACCTTGTATCAGTATAAATGTAAAACCAAACTTTCCTTTTCAGTTTGCCCTTGTCAAACACATCTTCAGGGAAAAGTAACAGAGCAAGCCTGAGGATTTCTAAACTTGGAAACATTGACCAATGAAGACATAAGGCATTTATAAAAATTTCCTCTTTCTTATATTCAGAGTTTAGGCAAGACTCTTGGGAGAACACATGAAACTCTTGAATGGAGTATTCACTCTTCCTTGGATAATAAGGACATCCTCCAATTACATTATTTTGGTAATTATAATACATAACCAAGATTGACATAGTAACACACACTTGTAATCCTAGCACTTATAAAACTGAGGCAGGAAGTTTCTGAGTTCAAGGTCAACAAGCAATACTTTGTCCACCCCACTCCTAAAAAAGGAAGGAAGGAAGGAAAGAAGGAAGGAAGGACGGAAGGAAGAAAGGAAGGAAGGGAGGGAGGGAGGGAAGGAAAAGGAATGAAAAGAAACAGCCATAACTCTATAAAGTTTCATTACTTAAGACTGTGCATATCAGTTCTCTAGCAGTTCCAGGTTATAATTTTAAGCTTTAGACTAGGATAGAGACCAGCTCAATGACTCATTGAGTACAGGCACTTTCTACCAAGCCCCATGGCCTAAATCCAATCCCCAGGGACCCACATGATGGAAGGATAGAATCTGTTCTCTATGTAAGCTGTCCTCTGGTCCCCACACACATGTCATGGCATGCACAAACTCCACTCCACACATATACACAAAAAATTAACTATATTAATATGTTTAGTGTTTAAAACATATGAATGGATTTCATCTGCTGTTCAATTCAAGCTTACCGACAGGCTAGTATTTTAGAACAAACAGAACTAAGTCTCTGTCCCAGCTCTATGACTAGCTCCATTCTATCACTTCGGGCAAGCTATCTATCTGTTAATGTAATTTTCTTCCCATTCTTTTTCTGAGAAGTATATATTTCCTATTATTAAGAAAGGAGAGAGAAATCTACATATTCACATGCCTGCCCATCCCACAACGGAAAAACATGGGGTTTTGGGGACAGTTCATCCCTCAAAACCCCAGAGGAAATCAGCTGTTCATTGAGATAAAGACTGAGGTATAAAACCAGCAGAGAGGTTGGAGGAAGCCCAGAAGAACCATGAAGTTCTTTTGGCTTACGGTTGTCATCTCCACCACACTTGCGACTGCTCCTGTTCGCTTTGACAGGTAAATTACCCTCCTTTGGTTGAGTCTCTGGGTAAGAAGAGAATTAATTCTCTGAATGTTTGGTTTGGTTTGGTTTGGTTTGGTTTATTTTGCTCTTTTGATTTTTGTCCTTTGCCTACTTGAAGGGAGAAGATATTTCGTGTGAGGCCCCAGGATGAAAAGGAAGCAAGCGTCTTGAAGGACTTGACCCATATCATTGAGGTAACGCATTCCGAGGGGTGTTATATCTTTCTTTTCTATTCTCTAAGAGATATTCTTTTTATTTTATCTTCAATGCCCACCGGGCTACCAAAGGCTGACAAACAAGTGGAGATGACAGGAACCATTGGGACAACACATCACTTAGTTTTGTTTCCACAGCTAACTGCTTTTCCTTCCAGCTTGACAAGCAACAGCTTTTTCATAAATCGGTAAAACAAGGGACATTCTTGGCACCTTTCTCATTGCCCCCTTTCCCTTCTGTCTGAATTCTGCATCAGTCCACCCACTCCAATTTCTCCTGGTGACTTCTGTTCAAGTACAAACTGAAGAGAGTAAAGTACTGGCTGATGCTAACTTTGCAGAGAGTGGGTACACTTTCAAAGGAAATTCTTAACTGTCATGCAGTTCCTTAAACTCCAACAGATAAAAAGAACATTCTCTATCATTGGTTCAGCCATTCCTTTCACACAAGGCACTTTGTCCCAGTCACCTTCCTTCTGTTTCATATTTATCAGCAGATTTACAATGTAACGCCTTTAAAACACAGGGCCTGGAGTAAAAGCATAGTAAGTGAAACTGACAAGATTACACATTAGATTTAAACCCAAAACCGAGTCTGGCTTTCATTCTAGTCACACTC